AATGCTGGTTATTTGGTCATTTTGCGCTGTTACATTCGTGTTGATATTACGTTTAATTCTAAGATGCTTAGTAGGAACATGCAACTCCCAAGTGAAAATGACTGGGAAAGTAGTCATAGTGACGGGAGCTAACAGTGGGATAGGCTTCCACACGGCGCAGGACCTGGCCCGCCGAGGGGCGCGCGTCGTCCTCGCCTGCAGGGACGAGGCCAGGGGCTCCCGCGCGAGAGACCAGATCATCGCAGAAACGGGCAACTCCAACGTAGTTTATAAACACCTCAACCTGTCTTCTTTATCATCAGTAAGAACATTCTGCGAGGACATAATCAAATCTGAAGAAAGGCTGGACGTGCTAGTGAATAACGCCGGGGCGTACGGCCTAGGCGGCCGGTACACGGACTACGGAATCGTCGAAGTGATGCAAGTNTCTGAAGAAAGGCTGGACGTGCTAGTGAATAACGCCGGGGCGTACGGCCTAGGCGGCCGGTACACGGACGACGGAATCGTTGAAGTGATGCAAGTGAATTACTTTTCAATTATTATGCTGACGGATCTCCTGCTGCCCATGATCAAGGAGCGACGCGGACGCGTCGTCAACGTGACCTCGCTTCTCCAGTATATCGGACACTTGAATCTGGACCGCATCAACGAGAAGGGAAGCGCGCTGATGACGTACGCGAACAGTAAGCTCTGCCTGATGACGTTCACGGTGGAGCTGGCGCGGCGGCTGCGGGGCAGCGGGGTGGCGGCGCTGGCGGTGCACCCGGGGGTCGTCCGGACCGACCTCACGCGCTCCAGCAGCGCGCTGGAGCAGCTGGCGTTCGCGGCGGCGGCGTGGCTGTGCCGGCGCTCGGCGGCGGAGGGCGCGGCGGGCGTGCTGCGCGCGGCCGTGGCGGACGAGTGCGGCGCTATGAGCGGCGCGTTCCTGGTGGACGGCGCACAGTGGTGGCGCCCCTGGAAGAGCCTGGACAGCACCACTAGCCGCGATTTATGGGACATCTCTGAGAAGATATTACGTTAAAAGCAGGCTAACATGAATGAAAATTGACGTGAGGCAGAGTGAGGGAGAATGATGTGGGCAATCTAACTTACCCGTATACAGGATACACCGATTAAACAACAAAAATTTAAAATTGCTAGCTTTAACATTTAATATGTATCTAATACCACTTTGCTTTATTTCTATTCATGACTCTACACGGTCTTTTTCTTATGATACAGGTACGAGCTACTACGTCAGAGGTCACGGGTCAAAGTAATACGTGTATTACCTAAATGCAAGAATACGAACTCGCGACCGAAAGCCGTAGTACTTGGCTCGCTCTGATCTAGCCAGCCATACATTCGATGTGTGCAGAGCCCCGATTACGGTAACTTTTAACGTCTACAATCCAGACGCGTTTCTGATTCTGCGATACGATTGGTCAAAACAGCTGACGTACGCTGTTGAACGACCAATCGTATCGCAGAATCGAGAAGCGTGTCTGGATTGTTGACGTTAAAAATTACCGTAATCGGGGCTCTGTGTCTGTGTACCAGTATAGTGCCTGCGACGGACCTCGTCTATACTGTGACTCATTCTTCATGTCCTTTGTGTGCATGATGTCTTCATGGACCTCATCGCAGGCAATGGCTAGTCTGATGAGGGTGATCATTATATTTTATTATAGTATTGCCTATTAAATAAATCATTTAATACTTAATGATAATGAAAATGAAAAAAAAAAAAGTATACAAAAAAAGTACAAAGTTTTTAGATAATTATAAAATTAAACCACATCTCATTTTATACTTTTATTTTCAGAATTTGAATTAAATATAATTACTTTTTATAAATAACTATACATCTACATCTACACAAATGCTAATTTTTAACGGTATTCATATAATTTACATATTCTAGACTATGTACCTATAATTTGCTTAACATTATTACACACATTTTGTAAGTCGTGACAGTCTGTGATTGAATCTACATTCGTTTCCTAAACATGCGATACAAAAAAACTATTACTACTACTTATTAAGATTTCTTTATTCGAGAATAAATTTTATAATAATACATTTGATTTTTTATAAAGGAACTAAGGTACCTACATAATAAATAAATTATTTACAATCTCTACGTTATCCTTATAAAATTCACATTTGAGCTCTACAACATTTACAAACTAAAGACACCAAACCCATTGATAACACATTACATAATAATTTCATCTACGAAAGGAAGAGTTGTGTTAATGTTGCTTTGTGTACATGAGCTTCATTCAACTGGGATCATATAATTTTTCCTAAAATTTACGGGAATAGTCCCACCACACGTTTCTACTGCTACGCTGCAACTCTTTTGTAGTCAGGATCTACAGCTTGAACAACAATAAAAACTCAACCAGTACCTAAGGGGAAATGCATGAGTATGCAGTAAGAATCTTAATCACTCTATTAGACGTGACTTGCACTTGCGGTAGTAATTTTCTTGCATTTTTTTTTATTTCTTCTTGCGCGTTATCGAACTTTGTTGTTGGAAGTGAGTATGTCGGGTCGGGTGGTGTCATCAGGAAAGGTGCTTCGTCCTCGTTCTTTGGTCTTATATTGATAGATAGTTGGCTGGTGGTAGAGCGTGGCAGCTAGACCTGTGCGGCGTGCGGCAGGAACGTCAATGGGCAAGTCGCTTGTCGTGCGCGTTCTCCAACTCTTAGAAGTTTGCATTGGCATATCTAGGGGGGGGCAGGCCCCTGACATGTCATGATACGGGGGGTGCGATTGGTATCATAGCTCATGAGTGAGTATCTACTACAAACTGTCATCTTCGTACCGATAGCCCAAAACCCGGCCCGGCCCCCCCGCTATATACGCGCTAGTTTGATCGAGTATGTCGGTTGACTGTCCTAGTAATGTGAACACTGTCCGGCGTTCGGTTCCCGGCAAATCTGCCGGTCCGGCGTAGCGGGAAGGCGGCCNGTGTTAAACAACAAACATTTTAAATTGCTAGCTTTAACTTTTAATATGTATCTAATACCACTTTGTTTTATTTCTATTCATGACTCTACACGGTTTTTTTCTTATGAAACAGGTACGAGCTACTACGTCAGAGGTCACGGGTCAAAGTAATACGAGTATTACCTAAATGCAAGGAATCGAACTCGCGACCTCTGGCGTAGTACTTGGCTCGCTCTGATCTAGCCAGCCATACATTCAATGTGTGCTGTGTACCAGTATAGTGCCTGCGACGGACCTCGTCTATACTGTGACTCATTCTTCATGTCCTTTGTGTGCATGATGTCTTCATGGACCTCATCGCAGGCAATGGCTTGTCTGATGAGGGTGATCATTATATTTTATTATAGTATTGCCCATTAAATAAATCATTTAATACTTAATGATAATGAAAATGAAAAAAAAAATAGTATAGGTACAAAGTTTTTAGATCATTATAAAATTAAACCACATCTCATTTTACACTTTTATTTTCAGAATTTGAATTAAATATAATTACATTTTATAAATAACTATACATCTACATCTACACCAATGCTAATTTTTAACGGTATTCATATAATTTACATATTCTAGACTATGTATAATTTAATTTGCTTAACATTATTACACACATTTTGTAAGTCGTGACAGTCTGTGATTGAATCTACATTCGTTTCCTAAACATGCGATACAAAAAAACTACTACTACTTATTGATTTCTTATAAAGGAACTAAGGTACCTACATAATAAATAAATTATTTACAATTATTACATTATCCTAATAAAATTCACATTTGAGCTCTAAAACATTTACAAACTAAAGACACCAAACCTATTGATAACACATTACAAAATTAATAATTTCATCTACGAAAGGACGAGTTGTGTCAATTTGCTTGTTGCTTTGTGTACATGAACTTCATTCAACTGGGATCATATAAGTTTTCCTAAAATTTACGGGAATAGTCCCACGTCACGTTTCTACTGCTACGCTGCAACTCTTTTGTAGTCAGGATCTACAGCTTGAACGCCAATAAAAACTCAACCAGTACCTAAGGGGAAATGCATGAGAGTATGCAGTAAGAATCTTATGCCCGTTTTCACCATCAATCCCTTAAGCGTTTGCTAACTAAATATCACTTTGGTTAAACGATCGCCTAAACTGCCGACTAACCTAAGTTCGTTTTCACCATGCTATAGTAAACCTAAGTAGGGACTCTTTTGTCAGGTGGCGTTTCTTCGTGCGCCTAGTGACGTTTGAAAAACCGGTACTTTCCGATAAAATATTTTATTGGGAATATCTTACGTATTTCACAGAAACAAATGAAATAAAAGTAAAACTAAGAAATATTTGACCAAAACTAATGTCTGTTTATATTTTTGAGTTATTATCAAAGACAAAAAAGATATTTGAGCTATTATGTAATCTGTGGTTTGGGTGCATACAGTAGCGGCGTAAGGGGGGGGCGGTGGGGGCGGTCCGCCCCGGGTGCCAAGCATCAGGGGGTGACACAAGTCGCGCAGATAAGTACTCACTGGCGCATCTGCGGTCTATATCATGATACGGGGGAGGGGGAATTGTCTTTCAATCTTCGAATCGGTAAGTAAAACCACAAAATTCTGGGGGGTACCAGGGGGTGCCTTAGGACTTATGACGGGGGGAAGGGGGGTGATCGCCCCGGGTGCCAACCCATGCTACGCCGCCACTGGGTGCATAATGTAATTCCTTTGCCTTAAAAAAAGTAAATGTCAAGATGACTGCTGTACCACAATAAATGAAAATAAAAATGTACTGATTTTGATAGATATTTTGTTGAGTTCTGTGTGTAGTTTTGTGCGATTTAACGATACAAACGACAATGGAAAAAAGAAATGAAGCAAAATTTTTCCCTCAAGGAAAAAGATAAATTGGTTATAATTTTACTTGCCCACAAGGATACTGTACGAGCACGTCAGCATCGACCGCGACCTACGTGCTAGCCGACTGGCCCATGAACCCTCAACGTGCACCGCGAGCGCGCGCACAGCACCAGCAGCGCCTTAGGCCTGTGGAGCGTGCGGCAGGAACCAGCCGTGCAGGCACTTGGGCGCGGGCGAGGGCGTGCGGAAGGCGGCGAGCGCGCGCACAGCACCAGCAGCGCCTTAGGCCTGTGGAGCGTGCGGCAGGAACCAGCCGTGCAGGCACTTGGGCGCGGGCGAGGGCGTGCGGAAGGCGGCGAGCGCGCGGCGCCGCAGCGAGCGCGCGCACAGCACCAGCAGCGCCACGCGCCGCGCGTCGCGCCCGTACACCAGCGCGCTCAGCAGCACGCCGTCGTCCTCGCTCTGGACATACACCAGTTATTCTTTAAATGCTTAATATACTGTAAGGGCGTAAAATCGTCATGGCAAGAAAATTAGCAACTATGAGTTTAAAGACTCTATTCTGATTAGAATTAGATTAGGATGCAACTAGTTACCTTGGCGTCGGGCGCGGGCACGAACACGGGCTCGCTGGGGTAGCAGTCGGCGCTGCTCCACGTCAGCGTGGCGCCCGTCCACGTGTCCACCTTGATCACCTGCGCCCACAGAAGCCCGTCACTGGCTACACTTGGCGGACAGTACTCAAAGGATCCAAGGGGATTAAAGAAAAAACTGTTATTATCAGCCATTGCTACCATGACTAACTACCATCGCATAAAGATCTTGGGTCAGATCAGATGTGACCTAGGGGTGATAAAAACTAACCGGATTTGTACCTATTAATATTTTAAGTTTATATGACAATGGGCAACTTACCGCACCAGGGTATTCCGCATCAACATCTGAACTGATGGCATAAAAATAGCGATACGGACGACCTGTGGAAAAAATAACAGTATTTTTCATACCATATATCTAATCAGCTCATGGCCCTGGTAATACAATGGGATCCAGTAACATACAGATTGTTATGAATCAACAAAGAAAAAATTACGCAATTCAAAGTTCTATACCGACTAACATAACTCAGACTGAAACTCCCAGAATCAAGAAAAGGAGGCTCTCAGTATGTAAAAAGTTGTTGGCTCTTTAAGGACAAGATTCTGGTAGGGAAAGTTCCATTCCAATGCCACGGTGAGGGGAATGAAGATGAGAATGAGAAGTAATTGGTTGATGGGTTACGCCCGTATTCACAAACACTACTATGAGGTCTCACAGTGCGTGTGGACGCACAGGGTGACGCACGAACCAATCACAAAGCTCTATTCAACGCTGTGCGTTCGATTTGCTGCTTTAAGCAAGCATCGTAGTGTATGCGTTAGTGTAATACCGTTGAAGGCGTCGTAGTGTATGCGTTAGTGTAATACCGTTGAAGGCGTCGTCATCATCACCCGGTGCCTTGTTGTTCTTCAGCTGTTTGAGAGCCATTCTAATCTCGTACAGACTGACGTCCGGGATATCTTCGGTATAGTGTCGGGTCAGTCTAGCTCTTGGGTCCTCGGCTAGATTTGTGACAGGTGCGCCTACACTCGTGTATAGTTGTCCGTAGAATTTCTCAACCTCTTCCAATATCTCCGGCCCCGACGAAATGGCTCTGCCATCCTCTGTCTTCAGCTTGGTCAGTTGACTTTGACCAACAGACAGATCTCTTGCGAACACTTTAGAGCCCTTGTTTCGCTCAATCGCCTCTTTAATACGGTCTGTATTAAATTGGCTTAGGTCGCGAGTCAAAGACTTGGAGATCTGTCTGTTGAGGCGCCGATACTGAGCAGCATCTTCAGAGGACTGCATAACCAAGTTCCGTCTCTCTTCCATGAGTTGATTGGTGAGGTGAGAGATCTTTTTGGTTCCTTTTGAACGACGGGTTTTAAAGAACTTAGACCCAGTCGTTTGGACAATTTCCACGAACCTGTCATTGTATTCGTCCACATTTTCGCAGTCTCCTAGGCATTCGAAACGATTTTGCAACTCGAGCTGAAAGCTTTCGGGGTTTTGGAGTTGGATGGGCGCTGGGCGGAGCGTAGACTTCATAATAGGTACATTCTGTTAACTAGTCACCAATCCAACAAAATAGGAGAATAATGTTATAATGGTAGAGCACATTAAGGTGCTGATAACTAGTTATAAATCCAATTGAGTGACGACGAATATTGTCGACTTCACATGGAATAGCCATTTCAGCAATTGATCTTTAGACTACTTCATCGCGTGTCCTGTAGAATAGTGCCTCACCTCGATAGCCTGGACGTACATGGCGTCGATGGCCTTGGCGTCCTTGTAGGCGCAGAGGTCCAGCACGAGCGTGCCGTCGCGCTCGAAGGCGTTGATGATGTGCAGGAAGAACAGCGGCTCCGTGCAGTAGCGCCGCTCCTCCTTGCCCGTGCTGCGGCTGATCAGCACGATGTGCGTCTGAAAGCACCAGCAAAATTACTCCATAATTTGCAAAGGAACAAGATCAGAATCTTACGGGCCAAAGACAACTCACTAGAGTACGTTAAACAGTCAACTGTCAAAATGCTTCCATCGTCGTAACCTGGAGCCGAAGCCGAACTTCTAAAACAAGGCTGCTCAACCTTTTGAAGAGTCGGGCCATTTCAGTAGTTTCATCGTTAACGACGGGCCACTTGCATTTCCTATTTCAGTTACTCTCAGGCGCAATAAAAACTCAATTATTAAGATCAACCCATACTTGCGCGGGCCACACTGTGGGCGACGCCGACGGGCCTGTGGTTGAGCAGCCTTGCTCTAAAAGATGGAATCGATTGGTATTGAACTTAAAATCTAATTGAGACATCCTCGTTCATCCGAGTCTCCAAGCACTGGACAACAAGAAGATCAGACGGCCCAAGCGAGGCTTAGACTGAGGCCTGGTCAGGGGTACTCACTTCCTGGTCGGGGTACCAGTGGAGGTTGTCGGCGTGCGGCGCGCCGGCCACCTGGGAGCGCAGCTCGCCGTACAGCGACACCGCCAGCGGCTGCTCCACGATCACGAAGTAGTTCGCCGTGATGCCTGCCGCACAACGTGAGGGAATCTAAGAGAGACATTGGCGTATCTAGGGTTCTTTTTCTAGGCCCCTAGGGGGAGGGAGGGGGGGAGGGAGGGGGGGACGGCACCGCAGCCCAGCCCAGCTATAGGTACAGTTAGAGTTACGGTGCTTTTATAAGACAATAATTTCAATTTATGACAATAATTATAGCTAAGGCTATGCTAGGCAAGCATCAAACTCTGGCTGGGATTTTTTGTTGATTTTCTTTACTTTTCAATTGAAAATAAAAATATAATAGATTGTTTGAGTACATAAAAAAGATTAAACAAATGCAATTTCTAATTTTAGTAGGGAGAAAAACATTGACAATTTCAATAAAATTATTGTATGAGAGGGTCAAACGAGATTTAAATTGGTTGATTGTGCGTGTCATATCAGCGCTCGCTTAGAAGCAATTTAGAGTAAGTAAAGCCTGGTCCGTGAGCACGTAGAATCCCGTCCAATGACCCCAAGCTACCCATCCTTATCGCTCGCGCGTAATTATATTGCTGTCGCGACTGAGCGACGCGAGCGCGACAGCAATATAATTACATGCGAGCGACAAAGATGGGCAGCTTGGGGTCATTGAACAGGATTCTACGTGCTCACGGACCAGGCTTTAGTGTTATTGGTGCGTGCTCACCGAAGGTGTGCATGTAGGCGGGGTGCAGCGGCCAGCGCGGGCGCAGGCTGCCCACCACGCGCGCGCGCGCGAACATGTCGCCTGCGGACACACCACACGCAGCTAATGATTATGTTTCTCTTTAAAATACAAAATTGGGTAAAACAGGCAGAACTGTACAGTATTTCACACCCGTATTCACAAACATTACTATGAGGTCTCACAGTGCGCGTGGATGCACAGGGTGTAACGCACCAATCACAGAGCTCTATTGAACGCTGTGTGCGTTCGATTTGCTGCTTCACATTACCAAGCATTGTTTGTGAATACGGGTGTTACTTAGTGTTTCTGCAAAATATATTGCAACATTGTCGCTGAAAAACAGCTGAAAACGTACAAAGTTGCATCACAGTTGGTTCAGTGACTAATCGATTATTTTTAAGAAATGTTTTTAATTGTTACGTACCCTTATCCGTGAACGGGAACTCGACCACGACGTGCTTGACGCGGCCCTTCACCACCGACATGCCCACGTTGTACACGTCGCCTTGAAACAATATACGACGCGTTATAGGAAACCTGAGACCACAAGACACATTTCTAAATAATAAATAAATGTTAATGTAACATTCGATGGGATTGACATGTTTTCGAACAAAAGTCCCTCACTAAATAAAAACAGATTAAAAAAAAAAGATTTTGCAGTAGGGTCCGAAAGAGATAGGACGATGTTGTAATGTGCAATGAATCGAAAAGGCCTTACCGTTGGGCATAACGTGCGGGTGGGCGGTGTGGCATACAAACGCTAAGGAGTCCATCATGTTTTTGCGCTCCATCGTGTCCAGGGTCACTGGGTCTAATCAAATTTTATGGTAAACTAAAATTTGCTTTTTTGTCCTATTGCAGGTTTGCAGGGCGTACCCATCGACCACCTGTATGCAGAGCCAATGGTGCGGATTGGTGCAGGCTGAGGAGTATCAGGTCAGTGGCACTATTATTAAAACGCGTTTCTTGATTAATTTTCATACCTTATTTCCTCTTTTATTTGTTCTTGAGACAATTAAAAGAACCATTTTTTTATTTTTTTTTATAACTGTATCGATTGATAATCATAGGTATATATGTTCGATAATATGCAACTAACCTGTGAATGGCCGGTGCCTCCGTGAAAGCGTATATCTCGTCGCCGAAGGGGTACAGCGATATCAGAGCGTTGTCGGTTATCGTCTCGTCCGGCTTGAACACCGATGCGATTCTACAAAATACTATAATGTTTATTTATGACAACAACCTAACACTTCATTCAAAAAATATCTCCAAAACTACCGAAGTTTTGAAAGGAATCTGTTGCGAAAAAATTCTGTTCGAAACTGAAAAACCAATAAAAAAATAGGTATTAGGTAGATCAAAATAATTCAAAAACAAACTGGATGCAAAATAACTCTAAAATACTTGAGCAACTTATCAAGGAGGACTGAAAATAAGACTTTTACATTAATGTATTGACTTGTCGAAAAATACCTACAAATGTAACAGTGTGTAACCTGCAGCGGAGGCACTCCCTTAAACTAAATTAAATTGTGTATGGGGCCAAATGGCAAGTATCTACTATCGAACAAAAAAGAAACACTCAATTCGGACGGGAAATCTGTAAGTAGTCAGTGAACATCGATTACATAAATATATCTAGACGACGTAATTGTCACCAAAAAGTGTTAACGCGAGCATGCTAAAAACTAAAAATGCTCATAAAAAAAAAACTACTCAACCAAATCAAATATTTTTTTATGGGACAAAATAGCAACTATTCCCCATCGATTAGAATCACGTAAATCGGCTCAGAAATTTGGCGTAATCGGTGTACATACATAGTAAAAAAAAGATACCAACCGAATTGTGAACCTTCTCCTTTTGTTGAAGTCGGTTAAACAGATTTATGTAAACCAGAATGTCTAACAAGAGGTTATAAATATTAGAAGGTACCCTAAGTATACGATAAACCTACGGTTTTAACTAACTCTAAGGTTTTAACTCCGACACTAAGGCGTAATATCCTTTGTCTGAGGAGGTAGTGTCGAAGTAACGTTTGTCGGAGTTTACTTAGGTAGCCCTTTAATTTACAAGACAATGATGCACTCGTTTCTTCTATTTAGAAACAACCTTTAATAGGTGTCCTGAATAGGGATTACTAATGTTTGGCCAAAAAACGTTTCCCAAATTATCACATGGCAAACAACGTTTCGCAAATTTTCATTTGGCAAAAACCACTCCGCGTAGTCCGCGTTACTCTGCATGTTCTGACGGACAATTGTTGACATTTGGTGACGTGGTGCATCATGCGCGTGTACATATAGCGTGGGACCGGTTTGAAGATGATAGTACTAAACTCATGAGCTATGATACTAATCGCATATCAGGGGCCAGGTGCCCCTGAAAAAGAACCCTAAATACGCCAATATGGTACATAAGGGTTACATCAGTCTTCGTCTTCGTCTTCGTTTCAGCCAAATAACGTCCACTGCTGGACAAAGGCCTCCCCCAAGGTTTTCCACAATGAACGGTCCTGCGCTGCCCGCATCCAGGCTCTTCCCGCGACCTTTACCAGATCGTCGGTCCACCTAGTAGGAGGCCTGCCCACGCTATGTCTTCCAGCCCGTGGTCGCCACTCGAGAACTTACCTGCCCCAACGGCCATCGTCTCTACGAGCTATGTGCCCCGCCCACTGCCACTTGATTTTAGCAATTCTGCGAGCTATNTCAAAAAATTATTAAATTCAGTTTCCATTTTGCCGAATAGGCGTGATTGACAATATAACTGTCACCTAACACTTAGGCGGCCGAAAATCGGGCCCCTGTTTTAAAGTGATCCCATAAGGCCTAAGTTGTCCCTTATGTGTTGGTGAAAACGAAATTCCTGTTAGGTATTACCTAATATTTCATAAAAGTCGCTTTTAAATTAGGGATTGATGGTGAAAACGGGCATTATTAATCACTCTATTAGACGTGACTTGCACTTGCGGTAGTAATTTTCTTGAATTTTTTTTTAAATTTCTTCTCGCGCGTTATCATACTTTGTTGTTGGAAGTGAGTATGTCGGGTCGGGTGGTGTCATCAGGAAAGGTGCTTCGTCCTCGTTCTTTGGTCTTATATTGATAGATAGTTGGCTGGTGGTAGAGCGTGGCAGCTAGACCTGTGCGGCGTGCGGCAGGAACGTCAATGGGCAAGTCGCTTGTCGTGCGCGTTCTCCAACTCTTAGCTCTTCAGCTTAGAAGTTTGCATTGGCCTGTCTAGGGGGGCCAGGCCCCTGACATGTCATGATATGGGGGGTGCGATTGGTATCATAGCTCATGAGTGAGTACTACAAACTGTCATCTTCGTACCGATAGCCCAAAACCCGGCACCACACTAATTTGATTGAGTATGTCGGTTGACTGTCCCAGTAATGTGAACACTGTCCGGCGTCCGGTTTTCGTCCGGCGTAGTGGGAAGGCGGCCTTAGGCCTGTGGAGCGTGCGGTNACCACTCCGCGTACTCCGCGTTGTTCTGCATGTTCTGACGGACAATTGTTGACATTTGGTGACATATAGTGGGGGGTCGGTTTGAAGATGATAGTGCTAAACTCATGAGCTATGATACTAATCGCATATCAGGGGCCAGGTGCCCCTGAAAAAGAACCCTAAATAAGTGATGACGAATATTCTCGACTTCACATGGAATAGCCATTCCAGCAATTGATCTTTAGACTAGGTACTTCATCGCATGCACTCTAAAACTGTAACGATTGATTATAGGTACCTAGTATCCTGTAGAAAATAGTGCCTCACCTCGATAGCCTGGACGTACATGGCGTCGATGGCCTTGGCGTCCTTGTAGGCGCAGAGGTCCAGCACGAGCGTGCCGTCGCGCTCGAAGGCGTTGATGATGTGCAGGAAGAACAGCGGCTCCGTGCAGTAGCGCCGCACCTCCTGGCCCGTGCTGCGGCTGATCAGCACGATGTGCGTCTGGAAGCACCAGCGAAATTACTGCTTATTGGATGTTCATCATTTGCAAAGGAATCGAGATCAGAACCTTACGGGCCAAGGACAACTCACAAGAGTAGAAAGAAAGAAATTACATTTATTTGGCATATTAAAAACAGAAAATTACAAAACTTTACAGTAAAAATTAATTTGGAAATGATGCCAAAAATGCTTCCACTCAGCATAATGCTACAGTGCGCAGCACCACGACGCTCACTGACGCAGTCAACTGTCAAGATACTTCCATCGTCATAACCTGGAGCCGAACCTCTAAAAGATGGAATCGATTGGCATTGAACTAAAAATCTAATTGAAGACCCCATCAATCTAAATCCGAAAATCTAATTGAGACATCCTCAGTTCATCCGAGTCTCCAAGCACTGGACAAGCGAGAAGACCAGACGGTATAGATCGTTACATCCACGAAGACGCGCCCCACCAATTTTTGGTCGAGGGAAGTAGTGCGCGTGTGCACTCATGGATAATTTAGCGTGTACCGATAACACTCAAACATTAGCGGAAGAATGGTAGGGCGCGTCTTCGTGGACGAAACGATCTAGGTACACAAGCGAGGGTATACTCACGTCCTGGTCGTGGTACCAGTGAAGGCTGTCGGCGAGCGGCGCGCCGGACACCTGGCTCCGCAGCACGCCGTACAGCGACACCGCCAGCGGCTGTTCCACGATCACGAAGTAGTTCGCCGTGATGCCTGCCGCGCAACGTGAGGGAATCTGATAGAGTCACTTGTGATGAGGGGCACCACAGCCCAGCCCAGCTATACAGTTAGAGTTACGGTGCTTTTACAAGACAATAATTTCAATTTATGACAATAATTATAGCTAAGACTATGTGCTAGGCAAGCATCAAATTCTCTATTGGATGGGATTTTTTGCTGATTTTTTTTACGATCCAATTGAAAATAATAATCCCATCAAAAACAATACTTGTCAAAAAAACCAAGTCTCGCAACTCAGTTGTTCTACGGTAAAAAGTTGTGAGATCCATGTAATACCAAGTCCAGGCCAGGAAATCTTTAACGTTTTACATAAATTATTGACTTGGCCATCGCACTAAATAATTTAATTTACACGTGTTTTCATGCGATGGCCAAGTCAATATATTTATGTAAAACGTTAAAGATTTCCTGGCCTGGACTTGGTATTACATGGATCTCACAACTTTTTACCGTAGAACAACTGAGTTGCGAGACTTGGTTTTTTTGACAATGATGATCGGTGAGTCAGTGAGTCAGTGAGTCAGTGAGTCAGTGAGTGACAAAATTAAGTAACTTTGACCCGTTATAATTCTTAAACTACTGGTTCAAATTGAATGAAATTTTAAATATACCGTGTCTTTACAATGCCTGCATAGCTAATGAAAATTCAGCCTTCTAGTTTTATCCACAACGAAGTTACAGGCAGTCGAAAATGGCCTGAATTGCTTCGAGAAAAGGATGGTACGGCCGTGCCGCTTTTTTGCTCGACTTGGTGGGGGCACTGCCGTGCCCCCAGATATAATACATTGTTTAAGTAGAAAGATTAACAACAAATGCAATTTCTAATTTTAGTAAGGAGAAAAACATTGACAATTTCAATAAAATTATTGGATGAGAGGTTTAAATTGGTTGATGGTGCGTATCATTATATCAGCGCTCTTTTAGAAGCAATCTATAGATACTCCTATACCTACTAATATTATAAATGCGAAAGTAACTGTCTGTCTGTCTTGCTTTCACGCCTAAACTACTAAACCGATTTTGATGAAATTTGGGTTAGAGATAGTTTGAGTCCCGGGAAAGGACTTAAGATAGTTTTTGTCCCGGTTTTTGAAACAGGGACGCGCGCGATAAAGTTTTTCTGTGACAGACAAAATTCTACGCGGGCGAAGCCGCGGACGGAAAGCTAGTTTAGAATGAATAGTGTTATTGGTGCGTGCTCACCGAAGGTGTGCATGTAGGCGGGGTGCAGCGGCCAGCGCGGGCGCAGGCTGCCCACCACGCGCGCGCGCGCGAACATGTCGCCTGCGGACACACCACACACAGCAAATGATAATGTTTTCTTTAAAATACAAAATTGGGTAAAACAGGCAAAACTGTACAGTATTTCACACCCGTATTCACAAACATTACTATGAGGTCTCACAGTGCGCGTGGATGCACAGGGTGTAACGCACCAATCACAGAGCTCTATTCAACGCTGTGTGCGTTCGATTTACTGCTTCACATGCAAGCATTGTTTGTGAATATGGGTGTCAGTCACCTTTATATTAAACAATATTTACCTAGGTACTTATTCATTTTCTGAAAAAAACTGTCTATTAAATTACCTAAGCTGAACGTGTAACCGTAATTATTCATTAACATTAGAAATAATAATTATTATTAAATACTTAATCTGCAAGAACGACATTTTAGTGTTTGTGCAAAAAACATTGCAACATCATCGCTGAAAAACAGCTAAAAACGTACCTACAAAGTTGCGTCACAGTTGGTTCAGTGACTAATTGATTATTTATATGAAATGTTTTTAATTGTTACGTACCCTTCTCCGTGAACGGGAACTTGACCACGACGTGCTTGACGCGGCCCTTCACCAGCGACATGCCCAAGTTGTACACGTCACCTTGAAACAATACACGACGCGATATAGGAAACCTCAGACCACAAGACACATATTTACATTAAGTCCTTTAGAAGCTAAGTTCTATAAGATCTTGCAGTTGGATCCTAAAGAGATGGTCCGACGATGTTGTAAAATAACGTGCAGTGAATCGAAAAGGCCTTACCGTTGGGCATAACGTGCGGGTGGGCGGTGTGGCATACAAACGCTAAGGAGTCCATCATGTTTTTGCGCTCCATCGTGTCCAGGGTCACTGGGTCTATTCTGCAAATCAAATAAAATTATGGTAAACTAAAGTCTGACTTTTTGTTCTATTGCAGGGTGTATCCGTCGACCACCTGTATATGCAGAGCCAATGGTGCGGATTGGTGCAGGCTGAGGAGTACCAGGTCAGTGACACCATATTAAAACGGGTTTCTTGATTTATACTAGGTGATAAACATATTATTTCCTCTTTTGTTTGTTCTTGAGACAATTAAAAGACCCTTTTTTTAATTTTTTTTGTAACTGTATCGATTGATAATCATATAAATATGTCCGATAATATGAAACTAACCTGTGAATGGCCGGTGCCTCCGTGAAAGCGTATATCTCGTCGCCGAAGGGGTACAGCGATATCATAGCGTTGTCGGTGATTGTCTCGTCTGGCTTGAACACCGATGCGACTCTACAAAAATACATTTAAGTGGCGACCACGAGCCGGAAGACGTAGTGTGGGTAGGCCTCCCATTAGGTGGACCGACGATCTGGTGAAGGTCGCGGGAGGTGCCTGGATGCGAGCCGGTGGTTTTTGTATGAAGTTTGACAGATTTTGACGTTTGTCAAAGTTAATATAAGATGGTGCAACCCAGCCGCGTAATATAATTTGTCTGAGTAGTGTAGTGTCGAAGTAACGTAATGTCGAATTAACGTTTGTCGAAGTTTACTTAGGTAGCCCTTTTAATCCATTTACAAGACAATGATGTTTTGGGTATTTCTTCGGAGGCAAAATTTTCGATGTCTTTGGGTATAGTTCTGTAACCAACTAACAAAATGGCATGCAATATTTTTTTTCGTATAGCTTAGCTATAGTCCTATCTGGCGCAAATTACATTTTTGACATAATTGCTGTCTTTATACAAAATAAAAATATTTGAAGTGTGATTCTCTGATTCATATGGTGTGTCCGTTAGCCATTTTCCGGAACAAAATGGTTGATGTAGCATTTTCCTTTTGATATATCAATATAAATTAAAATTATTTCGAAAGAATTGTACTGAAAAGCGGCCTCTCACTGTAGGCTTACGAACCACAAAGTTGCATAGTGTACTATGGAGTGGACTATGCTTGTTTTTTTTATGCAATCGAATCTGAAATGAGGAGATCCGTAAACGATCTGAAGTCGCATGGCGGCATAGTCCGATGTTTTAGCAAGCTGAAGTGATAATGGGCAGGACACATAGTATACAGAAATGATGGCCGATGGGATAGCACGTTTCTGGAGTGGAAGCTACGTGCCGGAAAGCTCAGTGTAGAACGTCCTCCCACAGGAAGGCGCAGGATGCAGGCCGCTACCAACCGGTCATTATGGAAATCATTGGGAGAGGCTTATGTTCAGTTGAAATGATTATGATGATGACAAAATATTATGGATGTATACTAAAGTTTCAAAAAAATGTTTTTTCACGAATTATTGTGGAATCGTTGCATTTTTTCATAACAACATATCATTGTTTTTGTTATAATATGATTATTTTCTTAATTTAGAGCCAATTGTACATAAATATCATAAATTTTATTTCTATTTTTGATTAATATGTAACAAATTCTGATTCATATGGGCACAAAATATTTGAACGTCGATATCTTGAAAACTAATTTACAAAAACGAGTCCCTTATCCAAATATATGTATGTTATTGGGTGTACCTATTTTCATATGAGTCTGTGTTACAAACCTAAAATTGAATTTGAAATTTGTCCATATGAATCAGCCGAAGAATGCGATTTCGAAGAAGTGCCCTTTTGCACTCGTTTGTTCTATTTAGAAACAACCTATAATTAATAGGTGTGCTATTTTAAATAGAATTTGCATTAGTAAATCTTCTAAATGAAGTGACCTGCAACTGTTATCATTCTCACATAGGAAATGTAGAGTGCCCTAGGTGTTTAATGTATTGAAGCCCTTACTTCCCAAGCCCAAAGGCTTCTTATTTACCTGTCGAATATGGTATGGCAGGGGTCGGGCACGGCCTTGGTGCCGAACTCGCTGACCACGATGCGCTGCGCCGCCTGGTTGCGCTTGTATGTGCTGGACTGCAGGAAGCGGCACTGGTACGTCACGCTTCCCTCATGGATCGCGAACCTACGATGCAAAAAGAGAGCTCTTTATGAATCCAAAAATAAAAATAAATGATTCTGAATGACATTTTAATCTTGTTTCTGATATGAATCACGCGACTCCGATACTGATATCAAACGCAGAGTCGCCAAAACGTAATTCAGCATCGAAAATCGCCGATCGCCGCTGCTATAAATTTCTGCTGTGGGCCTAATCGATATGATTCGAGAATGCATCTATCTCCGTCATCATCATCATCTGAATGAGGACGCGACCAGGAAAACTGGGCCTCGGATCGATTAGTTCGCAATTTGCTCCAATCTGCGATGATCGTGGTCCATTCCCGCGCGCCGCTTGGTGCACTTCCCTCAATAGCTGGCATTGGATGTGCAATGTTACAACGGCGCTCATTCATTTCCTAGCTAGGATTCTTGATTATTTAATTTAGACTTTGACTTTGACTTTAGTGACAAGATGACCTCACCCACAGTAAGCTAAGCTAACACAAAAGGCTTGTGTATAGGTTACTACTTACTGCTACTTACTACTATTTTAATATGAAAGTAACTTACTTCATTCATATGTTTTTATGCCATATGAATATTTATCAATAGTCACGATAGATTCGGCCTTGGAGCATAGCAAAAACAACCTTGAGGGTGGAACTCATAAGTTTTGATTAAGGACGTGGGCGGGTGTGATACATCAATATAAAGACTTTGGAAGTTTTTGAGCTGTAGGTTATATGAGTATAACTTCTAACCAAAAGTATTGTCTACACTCTATTGGCAACTTTTGCAAATATTTAAGATACGTACTGTTTAAAATTTTAAAAGAAACGCGTATCCGCGAGATTGCTGGGCGCATTTCCTCGCTGAACAGCTCTACATTGCCTTTGAACGAGAAAAATGCTCAAGAACATCTCTCAAATCAACTCTATTTTTAAATAATAATTCATTAAAGATTGATTTTTAAGAGTTTACTGGATGATGCTAGTGTGAGCATTTAGCACTTCGATAGATGCTTCTAACTCACCGGTGCATCAGCGCGGAGCCGTCGAAGATGTGCTTGAAGCGCATGTCGCCGACCTTCAGCGAGCCCGGCCCGTTGCGCAGCAAGGTCCCGCGCAGCCATGCCGGCAGCTCGCCTGGAACCAGTACGAATGACTTAATGCCAATGGGCAATCTCAACTCAATACGATAGAGAATAATACAAAGTAATAAAAACCACCTGTTATAGGGGCATTTTTTGGAGTTTATCAAATAACTAAAAAAACACGAATTTAAAAGCAGATTTTTTTCAAAAAGTATCATTTTTTATTATTTGTTGGCATTTTTTGTGTATTTTATGTATTTTTTTAGTATTGCCTGTTATTTACCATTATTACTGTTTTTATTTTATCAGGATATACCGCTTTGTTTAAAAGTTATTAGGTTTTCTTTACAATAAGTAATTGGAAGAAAAAAGAATTCTACAAAAAATTTAAAAAAAAATTGACCTCTTTTTTGTCGATAAAAATAGGTCTAGTTTCATCTATTTTTATATACACATGTACACTTTAACGTGACTCACACTGTATACAAAATGGAAATTAAATTAATCTAATATTACGCTAAACCAGTCGGTATAAGGGTGTTTAGCATATAGATTAGAAAAAGATAAGGATACTGACCTGTTATTTCTCCGTCGAGAGGCTCGGTGACCTCCTGCTCGCAGGAGCGCAGCCACACGCTGGCGTCGTAGTTGGGGTACAGCTTGTCGGAGGCGGCCATCGCTAAAACACGTCTGTTCGAGTATCGCTCAAGTCGGGCTAGGGCACCATCGTCGGTACAAATCCCCGTTTCGCAAAAAAATCGCACAAGATCAAGCAATGTTTATTTTTTCTTTTCTACTCGTAATTGTTCCCACCCAGCCAGTATTTTAAATTGAAACAGAAGAGGTCTGATTTAATGCTTAAGTAAGTACAGAACGGCTATAATTATTACCCAATACATATTTTAATTTTGAATTCTGTCAACCAAGACAAAAGGGGTACTTACTATCAAATTCCACTTCAATTTATCGTTTGCAGATTCGCGTTTGCGTTTGCAATGATGGATAAGGTTCTGGTGGAATGGCGAAGAAGCGACTAGTCTGCGACTTAGGTTGGCAGTGATGGGGCGCCCACGTGCACGATGAAAAATATTATTTAGACTTTTCAAGTATGAAAATAACGGTGTCTTTCCCTGACGATGGTAAAAAATACTGTGTAAAACCTGTCGCAGATCGCCAGGTTACTAAATAGATATTTTTTTAAATAAATACGTACTGTTTACTCGAAGCGATAGCATAATAATGCTTAATTAGATAACGCAATCATTAAGCCTAAGTCGGAAATTAGATTATTCCTAACTTGGTAGTAGTAATAGTGTGTAGATGTACTGTGTGATAATTTCCCGTTTCAGTAGAACCAAAGGTGGTCAGCATGTGGTGCGAATGTTATGGTGGTGGAGATTGCGGAGTGGATCTAGCCAGGTGCACAGCTGGGACCCAATGCAAGGCGTCAAGTGTACCATGAGTAGACCTTCGAGGGCGAAGGAATTGCAGTATGGCCGATCTGTTAATTGTGAAAAATCTAAAACGTTAAAATCACGGTATCGTTATAGCCAATGAGCAAACGTTAGATTAAAATAAAATACGTTTCTCTAGAAACTTCCTGCCCCGTACAACCAAACTGTGGAATGGACTGTCGTCTGCGGTGTTTCCGGACGGATACGACCTGCAAGCTTTCAAGAGGAGAGCGTATCTTTACCTTAAAGGCCGGCAACGCACCTGTAACGCCCCTGGGTCTGCGGGTGTCTATGGGCGACGATAATCACTTACCATCAGGTGATCCGTCTGCTCGNCCCTGGAAGAGCCTGGACAGCACCACTAGCCGCGATTTATGGGACATCTCTGAGAAGATATTACGTTATAAGCAGGCTAACATGAACGAAAATTGACGTGAGGCAGAGTGAGGGAGAAATAAAGTTAAAGTAATCTAAGTTAGTTTGTATGGTGTGGGCAATCTAACTTACCCGTATACAGGATACACCGATTAACACGTTGAGTA